TCAGAAGCAAAAATATACTTTTCTAAATCAAATTTTCGCGTTGTTTTCAAATCTGCAATTAGACTTTATCTATCAGTTCTAATTTTTTATATTATTACTAATTACATAAAAAATAATAATTAAAAAAAAAAAAAATTGTTTTCAAATTATTACTGTTTTGACATTTAGTATGTTAAAAATAATCAGTCCAAATTTTCATTTTTATCCTATTTTTTTGGTTCTTTAAAGTTGATGAAAAATTTTTGATAAAGATTTATGAAAGCTTATAGTAAAAAAAATTGAATATATTTTAACTTTTATCTCAATTACAAGTTTAAAATTGACATCTAGGCCAGTAAACAAAGGAAAAATTTCTTTCATTATTTCTGATTTCAAGCTATATTGGCAAATGTTTAAACCTGGTAAAACCTAAAATGAAATATTGTCATTTATAATAATAGATAAAAATTATATTACATGTTTATATGTATAATATAAAAGTACATTTGTAATTTTGTAATAACTCACTAAAACATAAGAAGATAAAATACCTTAAAATAATAAATGAACTGAATATTTTAACATAATTTAGTTTTATAAATTCATCAACTCCATCAGCAAGAGGCATATTCTCTATGGAAAATCGCCTTTGTTTTCAAATTTTAAATGTTGTTAAAATGAATCTAGGATTTTATAATATATATATTGATTCAGTAATAATCTTCAGCTTTTATTGTGTCTTTGCGCATTATTTTGGATATTGCATCTGTAGTAGTGTTTACTATAATCTGATCCAAATGTTTTGGCTGTTGTTTTTTTCTTTTAGGCCCTATTTGAAATAAAATATAATAAAAATTGTTCACTTGTGGCTAATATTGTTTAAAATAAAAAATATTTGTATTATATATAACATAAATATATAATAATTTAGAATTATATTTTTATTTTGTAAAATATTGCTTACTATATATATGAAACACAAGATGTTGTGCATGATGAACAAAACTATAATAAATGGCTCCTTTTGTAATTGTTGAGAGTGTTTCTAACAAAACAACAATTAATGAAATGTACATCAATTAGATTAAAAACTATATTAGTTTATGAATCATACCTTTTACTTCATTGACATCTCTATCAGCTTCATTTTCTATTTATCTTTTAAATACAATAAGAATACTCTTAAAACATTGTTTAATGGCTTCACAGTTTTTAAATCTACAATTCCATCTAGTATTACTAATGCGCCCATAGATATTGTGTTTATACCCAAGTTGTTTTGCAATTCATCTAAATGACAATACTTTTGGGGATGAGAAAAATGAACTTATATACACTCAATTGTGTTAAAAAACTAAAGGTTTTTTGTTATAATTTTTAATTATTACAAAATAATATTTTAATAAAATAAACATAATTTATTAATATTGGTTATTACTTTAAAAATGTTGCACATATCTGCAACCAAAAGATTTATTCTATAAACCATGCAATGAGTAAAAATTGCACGTGACATTTAATTTTTAGTTTTAATTGACTCTATTGATTTTTCAGACATGACGTCAACACCATCATAGGATTGTAAATTATTTGAGCTTTAGCTTCAACGTAATATAAAATATTTGTTCTTCTTTATAACTTCTAAAAATTAAGCAAAAATTTTATAGTAATATTAGTGTTTATTAATTGTATATTTTTTTATTAGTGCTGATTTTTGAATTTATTATGTTGCTCACGCATTATACTAATAGTCTGTCTACAAATGTCTTCTATAATTGAATCTCATACACTATTTGCACATATTTAAATTATTTTATTTTGAATATGGAGACTAGTGTAATTTTTGATAATTCGTAAAAATAATAGAGTTTTAAATTTGGGGGGGGG